CTGGCCTCAGCCTCTCCTCCCTGGCCCCCCTGCCACTGCTCTGTGTCCCCACCGCAGTGGGCCTGCCTCTCCTCCTTGGCCTCCTCACCATCCCCAGGCCCCAGGATGGTCAACGGGCGGCTGGACGCAGGGAGCGCTGCTCTTCAGGGGGGGACTGACTTTCCAGTTGTTTCTTGCTCCCCGAGGCCGGGGAGGCTGAAGCCTGGGGCTGAGCGGAGCGAGCAGGCCTGCAGACGTCGCAGCGCGGTCAGGCGTCTCTTCACATTCTGCACGGGGCCTTTGTCCTGAGTTAAACGCGTGGGTGTGCAGATGACCTTGTCAGGACAGACAGTGCCTCTCTGTGAGTAACCTTCACGCCCCTCCCTCTTGCTCTCGCAAAGTTTCCCACTTTGCTGAGTGTGGGAAGCCTTGGCCCTGAATGAGCCAGACGGGAAGTCAGGGGGAGAGAGGGAAGAGGCCCCCAGCCGTGACCAGGCCTGCCATGCCCCCTCCAGGCCCTCCCCACACTCTGGAACTGTTCACCGAGCCGCCTCCCCTTCTCCTCCCACCAGGCAGGAGTCCAGGTGGCACAGATTCAGGTCAGGGCTAAATGTGGCTTCGCAGCCCAGCTTGGCTTCTCTTCCCAGCACCAGCTTGTTAAGAAATAAATATTTATACCTGGCACCTGCCTTCTCCCAAGGCCTGGAGGCCCCTGCTGTGAAGATTCACGCTGAATCCCCAATCCCCTTGGTGCCACCTCAATCCAACGTGAGCGACCCCCTTCTCCTGCCCCAGAGATGCTCCCCTGGAAAGCTGGCTGGCAGCTGGGGTCCTGGTTTAGTGGCTGGTTTTAAAGCCAAGGAGGTGGGCGGCAGGGGAGCAGGTGACAGGAGGGATAAATCACCTCGCAGCAAGCCTCGGGATCCGGCCAGGCCTGCTGGGACCAAGCCCAGGTGGGCGGCTGCAGCGGCTCTGGCCCACCCCGCCCGGCCTTCTTCCCCACCCACTCGGGACTGGGCTACGGATGGTTGAAGGGCTGTGTGCAGGCAGCCCTCGGTCGCTCCCTGCGAGCCTCGTGCCCTCGCTTGTCCCGTAACTGTTTACAGGGCTCAAGACACATAAGTGGAAGAGTGCTTATTCATCCGGGGTCCTCCAGCAAGCCACAACCCCACACTAGGCCTTCGTCCCTGCGCATGTCTGACGGACAGTGGTGACAGCCCCGGCCAGCTCCCTCGTGGCTGCAGGAGAGGACGGAAAGGTACGCTGTAAGGCGCCCTGCAGGTCTCGGCTGTGAGCGGCACCTGCATGCAGGGTGCGGGGTGCTGAGGTAGTGCTGCGGTGGGCTGTGCCCGTCAGCCGCTGCTGGGGACGTCCACCCGGTGGCTCCTACATTGCCGTGTGCCCCTGCTCCTCTCCAGACCCCCCTCGCACCTCCACACTCACCGTCCTGTCCACGCAGGCCACGGAGCGTCCGGCAAAGAGGCTGGCCACGCCGCGGGCCACGTTGACCTCGTCGCTCAGGATGTCTTCCCACCGGTTATTGCGGAACTTGAACAGCTTGTCCGTGTACGTGGCCACCCCTGGGGAGAGGAGGGAAGGGAGGGTAGATGGTGGATTAGCACAGGTCCGATCTGGGGAGTCTGGCGGCACCTGCCCCAAGGTGGCTGGGCCGGAGGTGGGCGGGTCGTCTGCTGCAAGGAAGATTCCAGAAGGTGAGCGCCTCTGTCTGAGGGAACTCAGGTGTGTTCGCTTCAAGAGGAGACTGCAGCTTGTGAGGGTGGCCGGCCCAGCCTGGGAGCCAGGGGAGAAAGGCTGCCACTGCTGGTTCTGGGGTGACCCGAGGGCCGACTTCGGTTCTGTGCCACGCCCCTGTAACATCACAAGGGAGCCCCCGAGCGGCCGACATTTCCACATCCAAACTCAGCCCAGGGCGTCTCCTTGCCCAGGAGCTGTCCCCCACCTCCAGCTCCACGGGACTGCAGGACCGATCTGGTCCCAGGAGTGGTCCTGGCTGCTGGGCGGTCCTGACGTCTGCCTTGAGGAAGGGCTGGAGTTGAGCTCAGACAGTGAGAGGGTTGGGCTGCCCTGGGAGGCCCAGGCCCTGGGTCTGGGTCACCGTGAGAGCAGGTGGCAGCTAACTTGGCCGAGAAAGTCACGCACCCGCACTGCACACACGATGTGGAATTTGGGAGGCCGTGAACTCCTGAAGCTCCTCCAGGACTCAGAAGCCCTGTTCTGGGGAAGTGGGGAAGACCTCCGGGTGGCTGGAGCCCCAAGCCCCACAGGTGGCCACTGAGCCAGAGAGCTCCCCTCTGCGCTCCCCGGGGCCCATTTCCTGTCAGTGGGAACCCAGGGTGCTCTCCCCTCAGCCCAGCCCAGGAAACAGAAGCAGCCCTGAGGGACCCAGGCAGGTCCTTCCTGAGCCTGGGGAGGATGAGACTCGGGGCAGGATCCCTGGACCTGGCTGCCCTGCCGGCCGAGGGCTTAGACTGCAGGGGACAGCACGGGACAGTGGTCACAAACTTGGGGTGGGGATGAGCCCAAGCTCCACTCTGGGCTCTGCCCGGGTCCTGCTTCGGGTTCCAGACTAGGCAGGTCACTTGGCACCTGAGCCTCAGTGTCCTGATCCTAAGAAGGACCTTCACCTTGACTGGGACGAACAGACGAGATGTCAAGGGCGTGGCACGGGGCCCCGAAGGTAGCTGTGATTAGACGGAACTGTGTTTTCTCATTTTTTTTTGGAGAGGTTTTCGCTATAGGGCGCATGTGCTCGCCAGACAAACAGAGACAAAGAGATAGAAAGTGAGAAATCACCCCCCAGGGGGGATGGCCACGCCACAATCCCTTCTTCATTCTCTTCTTGGGATCTTGGGCACGCACGCAC